TCTGCATCTCTCTAACATAAATGGATCTTTGGCCTTGTATTAGGCGAAAGAAAGATTTTTTTAATTAAACCACGCTCATAGATCCCCTGCAAAAATTTAACATTCGCATTCTCAAGATGGGGTAGTTGAAGTCTCTTAACTCAGTTTGATATTGAATTCCTATAGATAAATAGATTGCAGGGATTTTCTAAAAAAAAAACATTGTTTTCGCGTTTTTTATTATAAGTGGCTACTCTTGAAGTTCGTTTTTGTTCTGAACAGCACCACAGTTGTAGGACATCTGTCTACTTACTCTGCGCATTTGTCGTGGATGACAAGATTTGTTAAGCGGATTATTAATACTATTTAATCATGTCAAAGTCAATTTAATCATGGCGAATAAAAATGTGGCATAAAAATCCGAAGCAGCATTAAAAGATGCCTTACAAAAGCTAAACAAGGTATTAAGAAACATGAAAGTTTCTTTTAAAACAAAGTGTGAAGTGCAATGAAATATCAATCATCCGATATGTCAGTGAATGACAGAGAATATACTCACAATGAAGAGGAGTGACATGCGGCAACAGAATGTAGACTTTCTAAGTGTAGCTTAGAAGTGGCAAAACTTCGGAAGTATGGGTCATCAATTGAAGATCAAACACCCTATTCAGTCGTAATTGATCTAACGAGACAGGATAGCTATGCATTGCACCCGGTTGGAGTGCGCAAAATTATTTTCTAAGCGAAGCTTTGATGTGGTACAAGGCCGAATGTTTAGGGCGCCCCATAAAGATCAAACTCATTACTTAGTCGTATTAAATCTAGCGAGATAACCTTGTTAACCATTAAACCACGTCGAACTTGTGGTAATAGAATGGTGGCAAAATGAACTTGTTTAATATATTTTAAAGCGTAGGTAAACTTTCCAATGTACTTTTTGCTGTTCGTTTTTTGGAAATTCATAATTTTTCTTCGGATTGTAAGAAAGCAAAATGTCTAGTCATTAGTAAAAAGAACAAGCAAATGTACAAACAACAAATGGGAAAATTCGCAAGCTTTTCATAAGACTGTGAATACTGGAAATTCTTTTATGATAGATAAAGAGGAGACAGATGGCAACAGTGTAGTTGGTTCTACAAAAGAATGTTGAGATTCAGGCTGGGCAAGTCATAGGAACAACGAGAAAGTTGTAACATGGAAACAAAAACAACACTTTTATTTAGGATCAGAAAGAGCCAGTTGAATTTTGGGGGACATATTCTAAGAAAAAAGGGCCTAGAGAATCTGACACTCACAGGGCATACTGAAGACAAGAGGACATGGGGAACAGTGGGCTACTTAAGTAGGTTGTATAAATGGATGGGAGAACGTGAATTAGGAAGTATAGTTAAAGGTCAAACAGTCCTATATGCTGTAAAGGATAGGAAGTTGTAGAATTCTAACATTTATGCATCATCAAACTTTTTGAAATGTTTTCTCATACACGAAAATGGCTCATCAGTACTTTCTATCTTTGTGTAGTATTATACATCAAAGGGATTTGTTTTTATAGTTATGCCACATATAATGAAATGAGCTCTCGTGTGAAAACGTCCAGAATTACAACGACTTGGCTTTTCATGCAAACTTCGTGTGTAAAAATAAAACAGGAAACATATCAATGATTTGGCTTTGAAGAAATGCAAATTAACTGAACAAACTGTTTTTTTTTATTGACTTGATTCTTTGACAGCTTTTTGAATGTGTAAACATTTTTTACAGTTTCCTTCGAAACTTGTGACATCACCGCGAAGACGTTTTTCTAGCTCTTCCATTTGCCGATAAATATATTAAAAAAAAACACCTTAGAAGCTTAGATTTAGAAGAGGTAGTTGAAGAAAGAGATGAAGTTTTGTAATGAGATTTGGATAACGTCTCATGCGCAACTCAGAGGATAAAATACTATGGTCGATACTGAATGTGTCAAAATAAAGATTTCCCAATCCCAATTAATATTGAATGAAAGTTTGTGTAGTGAAGTAATTTGTTTTATATTAAAACAAATATATTTAGCCTTATTGCAACCGTTATCAATCAATAAACTCAATCGACATGATCTCTGTCACCTTGAGAATGTCTGATCGATTTTTTTTATTGAATATTTGATAGAATAACTTTTTCAATAGTACATAGTATTATTCAGTTTTCTCATCAAAAGTGATCATATATGTTTGTCATATAATGTTTATATTTTTACATTTCAATATAAATCTAGAATAATCTAAATTGATAAACGCCATTTTTTGTCTGTGTTGAGATGTTGTGAGTTTCCCGCGTGTCGGTGTATGAATCAAGACAAACACAGTTGTAGAGGAAAATACTGGTATATTCATAAAAGCAATTAACAATAGAGTGATTAGTAGAACGAAGGTTGGTTTGTACGAAACAATATCCAAAGTCTATAGTCCAACGGTATGTACCGGGTAAGCTTATCTGGACTGCTAACACTGACTCTCTCTCTGACGCTCTCTTTCCAGAGCTGACTTATATAAGAGGGACCAGTCCATTACTAGTTAGAAGGTGGGTGCGCCCCAACAGTCTATCTGTCCGTGTGTCTGAAAGCCTTCTAATTCGTGTCACACTTACTCTACATAGACATATTATACCCTTTTAGAAATCGGATTATCTCGGGATTGAAAATCTGCATTTAATTTGGATTTATGTCCGGATGAGTAGGGAACAATAAAAAAGTGTTAAAAAACGTATCTGATCCTGTCATGCTCTATCATTATAAGAGCCAAATCAAGCTAAAACATTGAGTACTGAAGCGACACTCCCGCTGGAGCATCATCAACTGTTACTTTCTTGCCTTAAAAGAATTCAAAAGCATTTGAAGAAAATTCTGAGTAATGAAGCGTTTTACATCCTTTTCCACAGACGAAACGTTTCTAGACTCACGCTAATCCATCCTTGCTTTCAAGGCAGCTATTTGGACGCACTACATTCTTTGTTTCTGCAAGACCACACTTTCACAGCTAGACCTCCTCAGATAAATGTAGTCCATTTATTCTCATTTTCTTTATATTCCATTGGTAAGGAAGAAGTTCCTGTCTCACATCTGCTTCCATTATGCAGTATACTCCCGATGAGGTGCTTCCTGATCACTACAATATTAACATCTTCATGTTTAGGGTCAATCGTTATCTAACCTAGATATCCTTATAATATTCACCTCTTGCTTCCTCCATTTACGCAGTTAATACAACTTAATGTAGTAACCCGCTAAAATGAGTCGCTCTTGGGTCCTGTATTTGGCGTGAAATGATACAAAAGTATCACCACTAGTTGTTGAAAGAATCTGTTGCTTACAAGCTCTCATCCACGAACGTCTCAACGGATTCAATGAGTTCAAAATTTCATAATAGTAGTGTGCCTTTTCTCTCCTGGGGGAGCATAGGCCATGAACCCCATTCCTCCATTAAACTCAGTTTTCGCTCCCGGAGGTGCATAAGCCATGAACTCCATTCCTCCATTAAACCCATTTTTCGCTCCCGGAGGAGCATAGGCCATGAACCCCATTCCTCCATTAAACTCAGTTTTCGCTCCCGGAGGTGCATAAGCCATGAACTCCATTCCTCCATTAAACCCAATTTTCGCTCCCGGAGGAGCATAGGCTATGAACCCCTATTTCTCCATTAAACTCCCCCCGGAGGAGAGATAATGAACCCCCATTCCTCCATTAAACTCAGTTTTCGCTCCCGGAGGAATATAGGTCATGAATCCCATTCCCCCATTAAACTCAGCTTGTTACTTCTGTTCATTTACTTTTTTCTCTATTTAGCTGTTCCTCGGTGTCATGTCTCCAGGTGTTTCTTGTCAGTTCTTACTTCCTGTTTTCCCGCGTGTCTTATATCAGCGATGGAGAAGATTTAAGCTGGTTTCCTGAGTGTGTCCTATTCGATTCCACTTCATCCGCCAGGTCTGCTTTGTAACGTGATCTTGCTCTGCTTTTCCCGGCAAATTTTTAGTGATGATATTGTCTCAAAAATGCGCTTCTGGTAAGTTTTAATAAATAAATTTAAGTTCAAAATATTCCGGGAAAAGCACAATACAAAGGCGAATTTTAAAACTTAGGAATTTAATTCGCTGAAAACCTCCCAAATTTGTAATTTCATTTTAGTCAATTTTTTCTTCGATTATTCATGAAATTGTCATCATTGTGTCAGTAAAAGGAAGAGTCAAGCATGCAAATTACAAACTGGAGATGTTAAAATAAAGCAAGTAGAACAATTTGAATATCAGCGAAGTTTTTTTTTTAACATAGGTCGGCAAATACGGTACTGAAATCCCAAAGCTTATTGAGATAGCAAATGTTGTCTTGCAAAAGCTAAGGAACAGAAGACAGAAAAAATCTTTATAAACAAAAAAGAGTATTAAACTGTTATGGCAGTGAATGATGGACAAGCTCCTCACAGATGATTTTTGACTGATTGATTCGTTTTTTACCCTTTGCAGATTATTTATAGCTTGAAAATATTTTTAGATTATGAGAAGTTTTGGGAAATAGTAATAATTTCTTTTTTTTAGATAATAATGTTTTAGTGATATAAGTCTTACTAATTAACCCATATCTGGGGGAAAGAAGACGTGGATTCATACCTTTACCAAGGGATTTCGCGCTAAATCTTTATCTTTTAATGCATGCATTTAATTATTGGATTAACTCTATGTAGTTTAATTCTTTTGGTCGATTAGTGGGATTGTTTTGCTATGAGTTGACTGTTAGTGATCTGGATGTGGCGTTAGTCGTAGGTTCTTTCTTTTTGGGGGTTAGAGACTGAGAGAGAAAAAGAATGAGAGAATGTATGATAATATGACAGAGAGTGTGAAAGGGAGAAGGTTGGATATGGAATTTCATTAATCATTTAATCCACGGGATTTTGTGCGAAGGCGAATATAACGAACCCAACGCAATTTGGAACTGATCTCTCCGGTTAACAATTCGGAGCCATCATTCATTACACCACCAGCATATTCAAGCTTATAGCACCCGGTATTCCCAAGTGGTCACCCATCTAGGTAGTGACCATGCTTGACGTTGCTTAACTTCGGTGATCGTACAGTAACAGGTGTTTCAATCTCCCGACAGATGAAGAAGAGACATGAACCAAAAGAAATGTGTTTCTACACTAGGATGCATTTCCCGAATACGTGAGCATCGGTGAAGTTTTAGAGAAAATGGAAACAAATAGGACAGTTATAATTAATATCACGAAGAGACGGTTGAAACTTCTAGGGTATATAATGAGGAAAGAGGGCTTGAAAAATTTGATACTCTCAAGACAGATTGAAAGCAAAAGGAACAAAAGAAAATAACAGATAACCAACCTAGCGGGTTTGCGTAAATGGATGGCAGAACAGGGCCTGGGAAATATAACAAGAAACACAAATAAAAAGATATTGTAGAGAGCCGTGATCGTCAACGTCCTGAAGGGACACGTCCCTTAGAAGATGTTTAATTTCGCATTTATAAGATCATCTGTTTTAGAATACTTTTCTACATGCTTACTACTCAATTTCCATCACTAATACATTTGCACGTATCAAATCGTCTATTTCTCTTCATTTTAGACTCCTGAAAAATAACTATAAAAGATTGATACTAGTAAACTAATCTGCCCTCCTGTATAGCAGCGAATGCTGAACAGTCTCTTCAATGACTAAGATAAGTCTTGGGTCTATAGAAGGATATTGAGAATACCATGGACCGAATATGAAAGTGGAAACAAAAAGGGAACTTAAACTTAACCTCCGATATCGGCAATTGAAATTTCTAGGGCACGTGATGAGAAAGGAGGGCTTGGATACCCTGATACCCACAAGAGAGATTGCGGGAAAGAGGGACAGATGAAAGCAGCCCTTTACATACTTGGTGAGCTTGTGTAAATGACTGTTAGAACAAGGTTTGGGATAAATAACAAAGACACAAAACTACCAATGAACAGGAATATATGAAGGGCCATGATCATCTACGTCGTGAAGATAAAAGAAGATAATTTTTCCAAGACATTTTAAATCACTTTTTAAAGTTTTCTCTATCAGATTTAATTTCTGTGACAAAGACTGTTTCTTCTTTCATCCATTATTAAAGGTCATTTATTATAAAATTATCATCTAGGAGAAGTATTAATCATTTTTTCTACTACAGCGTTACAAAATCCTTTATCTAAGTTCATCTGTCAGATTTCGCTTTACCGCCATTGTTGTTGTATTTCCACCATTACCAGATCTAAAATTTTCAATACCCTTATCTAAAATCATCTACTTCAGGTCTATCTTCTCCGATAAGGATAATACTTTTTTTACCACTATTTTTTCAAACCCTTATGTTGAACTAAATGACCTTTATTTGTTTACTTGCATTATCTCTTCAATGACGACGATTATTCCTTTTCACAGCAATAGTCTGCAATCCATTTTCTAAGGTTTCTCTTTCCGAATTATCTTATCCAACAATGCTTATTCCTTTTCCATCAGTAACTTTTTAAATGTTTACTGTATATAAGCATGTAATGTTTAACGATAGCTAGTAACACCTTGGAAAACATTACAAACGCACTTTTGATATAAAAGAAACATTACGTTATAAAAAGTCAAGTAGCCTAACAGAAAGCAAAAAATCACAATGTAAACACATCCATCCTATAACACGTGAGTTCTTTACACGATTTATGTAATGCATATAATTCTCCACGATTTTAAGCTTATTTCTTCAAAGGTAGTGTCTTGCGATTACCTTATTTACTTGCACCTACGTTTTGCCTTTCGGAGTATGCTCATAATGGTATTAGAAATAGCAATACAAATGAAAAATTACTTGTATCTGTGTTTTATAGATCGTGCAGAAATATTTGATAAACGACATCACAAAGAACTGACAGAACTACACAGTAAAATTAACATATTTAAAAAGGATATTAGAATAATCAAGAAACTATAATGGCAGCAAACCGTCTGCTTACGAACAGAAAATGAATTCAATAGATATACAAGAAATGAAATGGTTGTAAGACAAGAATCTGTCTTCTTACAGAACTTATTTACTGTTGAAACTTGATTAATGCATGGAATAATAATGCAACACAAAATGTACTTAGAACAAAATGTATTGAAACAAGAAAGTGTACACAATATTTACATATAGTCTTTTGTATATTCCTGGGAAGACCGTTCCTGGAGAATGTGTTGACTTAGTCGCAGTCGGGCAGAGTCTCTGGATTGAATCTCTTGATTCCTCCCCATCTCTTCCCGGTACCAACCATATTTATATGGTCGGTACTCCACTATGCAAATTAGGTGGATCCTACCACAACATTTACCCTATACATTGAAGTGAATATCAGAGATTTAGAAATCCTACCAGAATTCATTATTTGGTGTCCGCAATCGTAACAACATAAAATTCGTAGATGACACAGAGTTGATAGCAGACATGAAAAGAAAACTACAAGAAATCCTACAGAAGGTAGTAAAGGAAAGGGAGAACGCTCTAAACATCAATAACTGCATGAAGACGGAATGCATGGTTGTTAGGAAAATGAAGAACCCAACATAAAAATAAGAAATTGGAGATAACAAATTCAAACAAGAACAAAAATTTAAATATCTGGGAAGTGTTTTAACGGAGGACGGAAACTGCTGGACAGAAATCCGAAGGCGCATTTCGATAACGAAAGATGCTTTCCAAAAGCTAAGCGTACTTAGTGTATTAAGAAACACAAATATGTCATTAGAAACAAAGAAAGTAGGACTGAACTCTTACGTGATTACCAGTCCTCCTATATGACAGTGGATACTGGAGAATCTCTTGAAGCAATAGAAATGTGGTTCTACAGGAGGATGCTGAGGATACCATGGATCGAATATGTAAGCAACGACTAAGTTTTAGAAAAATTGGAACCAAAAAGGAATGTTACACAAAACATTAGGAAGAGAGTTGAAATTTCTGATATTCACAAGACAGATTGATATCAAGAGGGACAAAGGAAAACGACACATGATCTATTTATTAAGCTTGAGTAAATGGATGGAGGAACAAGGTGTTTTGAGATTTAACAGGAAAAGGACAAATGTATTACAAAGAACAGGACATTGTAGAGAGACTTATCACTTAAGTCTTGAAGGTATACGGTACATAGAATAAGTTTCCATTTAGTTAATGATAGCAGTATGGCATACCGTATTTAAGTATTCCGAATCAGCTGGTATTAACATACATAGCTGGTTACGATAATTACTTTTAGAGGACTAGTATGGCTCTCCTGCCTTCTGATTTTAGTTGATTTTCGGTGTTTACATGTACCGGTTTTGTCTTGATGATGTAAGATGGCGTGGTGTAAATAACCCATTCGATACTACAGAAATGCTTGTCAAAGAGCCTGATGTCAAATAGGGGATCATGCACTGGAAATCCCTGTTCATGAGCGATACTAGCAGATATCGAGTATCATGGTATGGGCTTTAAACTTAAAAAATGATCTTGAAGGTTACCGCATTCAATGTAATTTGGGATCACATTTAGATATTTGTAGCGAAGACCTGAGCCAAGTGGGTGACTTGAGCTGGAAGTATTTCTGAGTTCCATCACTATATCGTGCATATTTGGCTGTGGCGCATCTGCCTTAAAATGTACATGCATTAGAGATTTACCACACAGTGATACTTATTAGACTGATTGTCATGATGGCTATATAGCACTTTCTAATTTGTAACAGAGCGTTACTTTTTTAACATGCAACTCTGTTAACAACAACAACATGATCAAACCATATAATAATTATCAATGTGTATTTATTTATAAAATTCCTGTCCGAGCTGTAGTGTCAAGGGAGATAAATCAAGTTAGTATTTTTTAAACCATTTCACCGAAAGCACGGCATTAAAGCCACTAGAATACAAGGGGTTAGTGCGTGTTAGCGAATATGAGAAAAATACTATTAAGGAAAGAGAACAATTAAAGAACAAGGATTCAGAAAGACGTTGTTGAAAGTTGACTGAGAAGCAAAAAGAGAGTTCAACAAGCCAGAAATACGCTAGGAAAACTGTTAGCACGGAACTTACTGTTACATCTAGCCGTTTCAATTGTAAAATGTTGAGACCTTACGGCCAATCTAGTACGGAGCTTAAATTCATAAAGTTCAGGTGCCATAGAGGAAAGTAGATCAGGAAAATTACCATGAAAGTATTTATAGAAAAGCTTCAGTATTTTCTGGCATTTGGAAAGTGACTGAAGACGAAATGACATGTCATGACGAATAGCATTGATGATCCTGCTTTGGATTTTATCAAGACTCTCTAAATATATAACAGGAGCAGCAGATCAGATGTGGCTGCAATATTCAAAGCAAGGACGAACGATAGACTCATAAATATTTAAGGTAGATCTGGCGAGAATTCTCAAGCACGAATCAATGTGACGCAAGTATATGCCTGCTATTCGTCATCGCTGCAACATTTGGTTGCTATGAGTGGATATTTCCGTGGTTCCTTTTAATAATCTATACAGGTAAATATTTATCTACCCTTAGCCAAAATTATTAGTCGAGTCAACGAAATATTCAATTAATTATTTACTCTAATCTTGCGTTCCTTAAATAGTAGTCATATTTGTTCAAGTCTTTTATGCGAGGCACTCAGATACCTGTGTCTATTAAGTGATCGTTTTGCTTTAATTTGGTTATTATGTTAATGTTATAAATACCTAGTAGTACTGCAGATGGACAAGAGTCTTAATAGCAAGATTAGTCACGCTTAGGAGTGTATTATTTTCGGCCTGTAAAGAAGATTTGTACATCTGAGTTGATGAAAAATCGTGAGCTATTCGCTGCTCTCTCGCTATTCCCAAGTAAAGAGTCCGGACGAAATACATTAGTGAGATACAAGTTCCACTCGATCAACTTCTTCCCACAAACCGCTGCTTCGTAGAGCTGACTCAAAAATGAATGCTTCCGCAATCACTGCAATCTCTAACCGTTAGAGTCGCCACATAACTTCATAAATTCTGTCTTATTCTACAACACTCTACCTCAAGTACCTCTTTGTCCTTGTACAGAGTGAACATTATTGTAAAAAACAATTATT